ACTCTCTCAAGTTGTGGGACAAGCTTTGTTGGCCATTGCATTTTGCTAATGATGGCTTTCCTAATTAATTGACAGCATATGTACAATGAAGGCAAACATTAACGGCCGTGTCACTGACTGATGAAAATGTCGTTCCACCTTTTGCCGGGCTGCTTTTGTTATTTTGGCAATGAACAAGCCGAAAGAAAGGAAGGAAGAAAGAAGGAAAGAATGAGAGAGCGAGATTTCGCCGATCACGGCTTTTCGGCAAGCGTCGTGTCACCTTTTCGTTCAGGGCAGCGACCACAAAGTTAAGCTGAGGATGAGAGAGAAGTAGAGCAGCGCCTTCAAGCTCAGCCCACTTCCACCGGAGTGCTGACTTTGACTCTGGATTGCCTCTTCTTTGCAGTGCGGAATTTGAGGATCCTACAACGGGGCAAAAACACCGGCCGAATAGTCAGTTGAAGATTACTAAATCCGTGCCCTTTGCTGAACTTGCAGCACTTACATGACTGAAGTAGTTATCNAGCAGCGCCTTCAAGCTCAGCCCACTTCCACCGGAGTGCTGACTTTGACTCTGGATTGCCTCTTCTTTGCAGTGCGGAATTTGAGGATCCTACAGCGGGGCAAAAACACCGGTCGAATAGTCAGTTGGAGATTACTAAATCCGTGCCCTTTGCTGAACTTGCAGCACTTACATGACTGAAGTAGTTATCGCAGAGAAACTTTAGCAAATGACTCTCCGACTGTCTCTGCAACTCGGTGGTGTGCGCTACAACCCAATTATTTAATTAGTCATCAAGATCTAGTAGTTAAGTTTTTTACCTTTGTCAATGACAACCCACGGAATGTAGTTGTGTTCCGGGCTGAGATTGAATGTTTTCAGGGAGTTGGCAATCAGCAAGCGTTCTCCTTCGCTACCTTCAGCGCAACTTTTGATTTTGGGCCAGTCAAGTCCGAGCTGGTTAGAGCACTGTAAAAGAGCATTATCATTTTCAGAAGTGTAATTCTCTAGCTTAATCCTCATCATCTAATCCTCCGACACATCCTCTAATCTTAATCCTTACCGTTTCTGCCGTTGCTTGCGTGTTGTGCCAGTCTTTCTGGGCAAACATGCACTTTACGAAATTCAGCGATACTGATGTGTCTTTAAGCAGCTCAATGGTGCAGGCTTGTACTCGGTTACCGTAACATTCTGAAATAATTTGATGAAACAAAGAAGATCAAGTGTAATGATCAGGTTTAATCTGCGCGTTGTTATCACCTTGTGGTCCATGTTGGCAGTGAAAGACTGGCTTGTTGTCATGACGAGGGTAGCTGACGTTTGCATGTCCGAAGGGAACCAGCNTGCAGGCTTGTACTCGGTTACCGTAACATTCTGAAATAATTTGATGAAACAAAGAAGATCAAGTGTAATGATCAGGTTTAATCTGCGCGTTGTTATCACCTTGTGGTCCATGTTGGCAGTGAAAAACTGGCTTGTTGTCATGACGAGGGTAGCTGACGTTTGCATGTCCGAAGGGAACCAGCTCAACGTCCATATACCGATTTAACTTTTCATAAGTCGGGGCTAGTTGCTTAAGAAAAAACTGTCTCGAGTCGGGACACAACGTTTCGTAATAAATAGATATCTGTGTTGGAGCCTGTAATAAGTAAAATATAAAAACGAGATTTTTAAGTAAAAACAATGTAGAGAAAAAGGCCAAAAAAGTTAACCGTCTCAAGTGACGTTTATCAAACAATCTGCAATTAGTAATGCAGAGAGAGGATAGTTAAAGAAGTGCAAGCTCGCCCTGCCTGTCATCACTGTCGATTCTCTGCAGTTTCCCTACAGCTGAAATGCTGCATTACACTGAAGCCTCTTTCACCGCCAGGAAGTGTCATTTTTCATTTCCTTGCAAACAAGCAAAAGGCCATTATGAGCGAATTTCGTTTCTGTTTTTCTCTGTGGTTGACAATTCACCATTGAAACCGGTTTCATTTCATCCGTTTATCCTAAAACTCAGTGAAAAAATGAATGTAGTTCTTGTTATTCTGCCTTTGAATTTCAGAATGCAGTGCTTGAAAAGCGGTGCAACCATAAGCAAACATAACTGCAGACTCGCCTAAAACGCGATCGTTCGACTGTCAAATCGAGTGGGTTATAATTTATATGATTCACTAAATAAAACCATTTATTGAAAGGCAGTGGGTGCCCGGTGCCTTCCTCTGCGCTGGCAGCTTAGCTTAGGTTCTTTCAAAGCAAACATTGGCGCAGGGAGGTCAATCTAAAAAGAGCGAAGAAAGAATGCTCTTTGGTACGCTCACGATTTGTTCGGCGCTGCGCCACTGATTACCGGGCACGACCAGTGATGGCTGACTGTAGGCGCCTCTGACTCTGCCTCTGCCGATGCTGCCGTCTTCCTTCCCATCCTCATTGACCTGCCTTTAATGGAAAACCGTCTCGTTGAATGGGCTTTTTGGTGTGGAATTGCTCTATGCAATCGATAAAACTAGCCAATAAAAAGTGCATATTTGCATTGTGTAGCTTCCAGCTTCAAAACAGTGCGAATGATACCCGTAGAAGGTAACGACATTTGCGTGTCATTCAGTCTCTACAAGGAATGTACTGCTGTATTGTTCTAACATTAAAGCACAGTGATGATGATGATGATGATGACAGGACAGGTGAAAGGCAAAAGAGTGGTGGTCAATTTTGAGTGCTCATGCTGGTGACTTACGTGATGTGCGCCGACCTGAGCCGAATGCAGCCAGATGCAGCCGACAATCGGCAAGATGAGCACTGTGACAAGTTGATTGTGCATGATGAATGGAGAACAGAGAATTGACTGGAGAAGGGCTGACAATGAGTTGAGCAGAAGAGATGAATAAGAGTCAATTTGATTAGGAGGACACTAATTGGACAGTGGCACTGACCGAGATGCAGAATAATTATCGAGCTATGGCAGCTAAATTGCCTTCACAGCTTCCAGTCACTGGCTGGTTGAAGTTGCATGAGGAAAGTGAGTGTTTCAAACTGACTGCAAACGGTAGACTGACAGAAAGACAGAAACAGTGACCTGTTCGGTGACGGGAAGACAGTGCAAAGTGGCTGTTGATGCGTCCAACTGTCGATTTGGCACGAATGGCTCGGTCCAACGGTTACCGAGTAGCATTAAACTCACGACTCTTCCTCATTCACTGGAACTATTAATGTGGCAGGCAACAAAAGCGACGTCAAAACAAAAATGATGGGGAGAAAGGGCAAACAGTGGGGCAAAGTTCGTTAGGAGGGAGAAGGAGTCTGTTCGCAAAGTTGATCAAATATATCACTTGCAGCATGGCAAGTAAATGTCACATTTAACGGTAATAGCTGGCTTTTAATGAACTTAACAGTGAAGAAACGTAAGCTTTACAATAAGTAAGGAAAAGTAGAAATGGTTTTAGTATAGTAGTGGTGGTGGTAATGATGAGGATGATGATGGAGATAACAATGCGAGTGAATAATTGACAAAAGTCAAGAGAAAGAACAAACTGCAAACAACAACTTATGGAGAAAAATCGATGTGAAAAGTAAAGCCGGTACTAGTTGGGCAAAGTGCACTTGAAGATGTTTGTCAATAAAACACTTCGGAGGCTGAAGTGTTGGTGCCTTACTGGCGAGGCAGTACTACACACCGACTGGAGGAGAAAGACACCGCTGAGAAGGAGGAGAGCAGTGTGTAGTGCAAGCGAGACAACCGCTGACTGCGCGAGAATCAATGTTCAGACGGCTGCAGACTGGTAATCNGAGGCAGTACTACGGCGAGGCACCGACTGGAGGAGAAAGACACCGCCGAGAAGGAGGAGAGCAGTGTGTAGTGCAAGCGAGGCAACCGCTGACTGCGCGAGAATCAATGTTCAGACGGCTACAGACTGGTAATCTTTTTTTCCACAGGCTTCCGCTGTTCTCGCCGTGGACGCACGTTTAATCAGACTAATCATTCGGAAAGGCAAATATGAAAGCACTTGCTTGCTGGAATATATCATCGGACAGTGGCACAGAGCACAGAGCACGAGAATGCTGCTGAGACACCTTCAGGAGAGAGAGAGAGAGAGAGAAAAGATCAAAGACCGGTTTGACGATTACTTTTCATCGTGTTCCTTCTCCTTCTCTCTTCAAGACATTTCTCCTTTTGACCGCTCTCCTTTTCTCTCTTTCTCTCGTTTTCTCTCACCTTTCAGCTCTCTCTCGCTCTTTCTTTGCATCGCTCTCGCATCTCATCTCGTTTAGTATTTGCCTGTAGTGGACCACAAGCATGACATAGCGATGTCCATTGCCAGTGGCTATGCTTGCCGGTAGGATGAACCTAAGAGTGGCAGGTAGTAAGGCAGGTAGGCAGAGAAGCAAACTCGCAGCAAGAGACGTCTGCACGATGCTTCGTCACCGGGCTTACCAGTCACTCACTCACTCACTCAGGTTGATCATTCTATCGGCCAAGATCGAAGAACCCTAAAGTTCAACAATTCGATGAAGAAGCAGACGTTTGTGTTGCTGCGCGTCACGCAGTGTCTGATTGAGTTGAGAGAACAGCGGCAGGCAGGCAGGAAAACGGGCAGTCAAGGTGCCTACCTTGCACCATCGCCGATGAGCCCTTTGCAGGACATTCAGTGGCGACCAGGCACTTTGGCGGGCAGTGGCCAGACAGCACCAGAAGGCACTGCCAATAAACGAAGAACTGACTGCTTTTTGCTGAACTGCTGAACTGTTGCACTAGTAGCCCAAATGACTGTGAGCAATGGTAAACAGTACAAATTGAATAGAACGACGAAAGAGCTCGAGAAAGAAAGACTGTTCGAGTAGAGCCGGTAATTGATTTACGCGCTTGTGACTCGAGCTGACAAGCTGCAGCTGATGGAGACAAAGGCCAAGGGGAAACTTCTCCTGGAAGACGCCATCGGTGATCGACGAGTGAACAACTTCTGTTTGTTCAGTGCTTCTTTCCTGTGCAGAACAGCAGAACGCCACTCTGCGAACTGACTGACTCACTCTGTTTGCGTTGACCACTGCCAGTCGATAATTGATGCTGCAGCCTGGTCCAGCAGCACATTAGCATCTTCCGTGCCGCCGTCACTGACCTCGTCGTTTCGTCGCTCGACCTCGCTGTACTTTGCGCAGGTTGCCATTTTCCTGCACTGTTTGCCTATCTTTGCACAAAGAGGCTCTTGGTCATGCCAGTTGAATCATAAGCTAACTTAATTTATTCGACACTTTGCCAACTTTTACTTTTGTTAACTTTTGTGCTCGATACGACGGTGCTAAAAACGTTATGCGTTCAGCAATGAAAGAGGAGGAAGAAGAAAAGAAAGCGCCGATCGAACGATTAACCATTAATTTGAATTGGTTAGGGTCAAATGCTCATAGATGCTCGCAGGTGGCTGTGCTTGATGGTGGTGGCAGTGATGGTGGTGGAAATGGTGGTGATGATGCATTCTCAAAGACGGGATCGAATGTCCACGCGCACGCAGGCGAGCATCACAGCATGAATCGTTTGTTGTGTTTTGTCTGTCTATTTGTCTGCTGGTGGTGTGTCATAGTGGTTGGAGCGATCAAATTGGATTCAAATCAAATTAAAGCTACAATGAATGGACAAGCTAATTACGTGTGCTTGCAAAGGCAATTGTCCAGGAAGGTATAATTTGCAGAGGCACGACGAATTGCTGGGCTCGCATTGGCCCACCACTCTTCTATGGAGTGACAGCAACAACGCCGAATGCACCGAACACATTGCACACTGACAGCGAAGCCAATTTCAAGTCGGCAATCGAATAGCTACTACTACTACTACTATTACCACCACCACCTCTTACCACTTTGTCTGACCGGTCAGGGTTCGTAACGCCAGCAGTCGACTTGAATTGCAATGCTCTCTCCACTTGTTAGCTTCCTCTCTGGCGCCCGGCATCATCGTCTCACCGGTCTCTGTACCTGTGCCTGTTCACAGTGCTCACTTTTATACTGGCAAATATAAATAAAGCTGGTGTGTGTGTGTGTTTGAAGCTGAACTATGACCACCACCGCCGCCGCAGCCAAACACCGGATCGCCACCCTCTTAATCTTTTTGTTATGCTAATGCACCGGCAAGGGGCCTACTGGCGCACGCTGGTGCACTCCCCGGTGCAGTGACTAGTGGTGGTCAGTGAGTAGTGGCAGTATGCACTAATTGGCACTGAGACACCATAATTGGCCAGTGCTCTCAGCTCACTCCGGTGTGCTTCTCCTGGCGTAAGCTCTCAGAGCCACTATCCCCACAAGATCCGCTGCAAGTTCCCACTTCGATTTATCCGTGGAAGGTGGTCAAATATACGGTTTTAATTTAAAGTGCTACTGTGCCTTAGCAGTAAACAGCAGGGAAACTTTGGTAATTGAAAGTGGCAGAGCAATTACTCTGAAGAACAAGGGGTGAATTTTGTTTTGAAAAGAAAAATGAGCCAAATTCAGCAACAACGCGTTACAAAATATATTCAATTAATCATCGCTCAGTGTCCTTGAGCGCTGTGAATCAGTTTTGCCTAGACACAGAGGGGTTCTTCTTCATCCACTTTGTTTTTCACTGTTTACCATGTGTGTTTGTTCCTTATAACCCATCATATAGCGAGTTGTTTGAGGGTAGAAAACATCCGTGATGAGAGTGCAACTTGCATACAGTTTACTTTGGAAAGGTTGCAATCGAGCCAGGACAAAATGACAATGCCACTTGTGCTGATTAGAAATGTGTCGGTAAGGTGTGAAGGTGTCATTGCGATTATTATTATGCCCCACTGCCTAGCAACCTCTATGAGTGGGAACATTCTGGGCAGATTAAACAATTTAGGTGCCAGTAATTTGCTTCGACGGTAAGCAAACACTGACAACGACATTGACCAGCAGCATCCTCACCGACATTACCTCCACTATCATTGCCGGCACCATAACAAAAGAAGCAACCAACCAAGTCAGCTCTGGTCGTTGCAACTCTGGTCGCTTATCGGCCATTGGACAAACCACACATTCTTCTCTTTCCTCAATGCCTGTCTTAAGGAGCACGTTCCAAAGAAAGTCGAAAAAACGAGCACTGAGAGCATCAATGACCGGGCACTCAGATAGTCACTTTACTGTTGTTCAATGGCCACTTTTCTTCCGCAGTCATTCCTTAGGTTTCGCCATCGTCTGGAAGTCTGCCAAGCCAATGTCTATTAACCAAATAGCCTTCAGTGTAATCCATTGGCCGTTTCTCTGTTTGTGTTTAGAGAAGCAACACTACAACATCAGCGTTAACATTCACAATAAGTCGTTTGAGCATTAGCGTTGTAACAGTGCCCATTAAAAAGCTTGCCACACACATACTCACTCTTTCTGAAGACGAAACCGAGTTTTCTGAGTGGATGTACAATGACAGACCTGCCTCTAGCAGCACTACATAGAATCATTTTTTTCTCAAGAAAAACATTTACATTTTGGGTCACTTTACAAGCGCCCGATCTAACAAATTGTCCTGCTAGAAAGTTTACATCGTTCAAATATCCTGAACCGCACCAAAATAATTGCAATGGTTACTTAAAACACTCGATCATCACAGATTGAAATGTTTCAGAAACATGTCTTGCGTCCAGTGCACAGTAATAAATCAAGAGCATCGTCTTAATCATCTGACATGAACATGGAACTCTCCCTTGCAAGCAATTCTAGCTGTGCGTTGAACATTACTAGCAATCAAAATTGTACCATCTCCACTGGCCCAAATGTAAGTAAAGTGCACTTTTGATTTTTTTTCTGTGACTTGTAACCAATATTACCGGCTTTAAA